ACTATCCTTCTAAAGAAACAAACTGTATTGTTTACCGTAAACTAACATCCATGAAGTCAGACATGGTCTGGCTACATGCACCCGTCTTCCTTTCCAGTGTCAGCTTTATAAATGTTGCCCTGAAGTCAGCTGTGCAGCTCCTTTATGCAGGTGGGGGCGCAGTGGACAGCGAGTCACGCCCTGCAGCGGCCTCCAAGGGTCGCATCCCTACACAGTTGCTCCTGAAGGGGCCCGATTTGTGTCTTCCCGTTTCCTGAACATCTGAGGATTTCAGATTCCTGTCAACATGAAGAACAAGACTTAAGTGGCCCCAAATCATCTGTTCTGTATGAAGAAAATCCACGGGAGAAAGTTTAAGAGCAAGTGAAACTTCACCATGGGCTCCCTTCCCCAGGCTTCGAGCACCGCCAGGCCAACATCAAACTGCACGTGCGCGCACGTCTAAACGCAGTTTAATGGGCTCTTGACTGGTTCCCTTGGTGTGTGCGGGGCTAAATTTTCGTTTTAAGAAACTGGTGTATATAAATGTCTTCAGCTAAATTGTGTGTCAGAATGCGGATGCTCTTTTCCTAAAGACGCAACACATAAAATCTTACAAAAATAAAGGGAGGGGGAGCCCCCTAGGTGGCTGCCTGGCTCAGTCGGTGAAGCATCTGCCTTTGGCTCAGGTCATGGTTGCAGGGTCCTGGGGTCAAGCCCTACATCGGGCTCCCGCCCATTAGGGAGTCTGCTCTCCCTTCCCAGCTCCCTCTGCTTGTGCTCTCTGTCAAATAAAAAATCTTTAAAAAAAAAAAAAAAGCTTTAGAAGAGCCTTCGATACAATCTACATACTGTCTGGGAGAAAATCTAGGATTTTAGTGGAATCCTTTGCTGCTGTGACATAATGGATTTAATTTAACAGTTGAAGTGTCATGTGGTAACTGCATTGTGCCATTTAAATTAATTTGCAGAAAAGTCTTTGATTTTTGAAATGTAACCAAGATGAGCGACAGAATCACCTAAGTAGTGGAATGCTAGAACCGGGTGGCTACAAGTTGGTTCTATGGCAGGACCCTCATTATTTCTCCTCTAGGGGTGGGAAGAGATTATCTCCTTGGGGAGACAGACGCTAACTCGTGTTGTGGCCTTTGAATTGCTAGCGGATGGATGGGAATGGGGGCCCTAAAGAGTGGGAGCCCGTTGCTGCCTGTGGCGGCTGGTGCTGGCTCAGCTGGGGGCTGCGTGGCGAGGGCTTCCGTGGACCCGGTCGCATCCCTGTGGGGTGGGTGTGTCCCGTGCTCACACCACTGAGTTCATGACAGCTCCAGCACTGGACCAGGGGTCGGAAGAAAATACAAGGTAGAGGTTGTCAAGAGAGGCACACGGAACAGGATCATCACGGTTGGCAAAACAGGGGCGCCTGCTGGCTTGCAGGTCTGAGAGGTCCCAGAGGGAAAGCCAGGGGGTGCACGAAGGGCCAGCGTGGAGGCCGCCTGGCTGAGTGCCTTCCGCACTCGCCACCTGTCCACGACCCGCAGGAGACGGCGGCACGTGGTCTTCAGTAGGAAATGGGACCTTGGGGAAAGATGAGGCTCAGTGCAGATGGCCCCGTTGGAGGTGTGCCTGCCGCCCCCACCACGCAGGGTGTGTCTTCCACCAGTGTCCCGTCTGCAAGCAAGGGGGCTGCACACTCTGGGAGGTCTTTGCCAGTTCCAGATTTCGTCTTTTTGCTTGTAAAGCGAGTAACTAACAATTACTGCAATTGCTACAAAGTGCTGTAAAAAGGCAGATGATCATAAACGTTTGGTTTTTAATTAAACAGAATTTACTTTCTATCCTTGGAGACAAAAAATACCTGTTCTCAACTTTAGATATATTGCAATTTATTTAAATTTTGGCTTTTTCCCCCTGATGTTAAGCTTTGGGCTAAAGTAAAAGTACAGCTGCTCAAAGAAAAGAAAAAAGAAGTGGGACTTTCGTAAAAATACCTTGAAGCCTCTCTCCAAGGAGCGAACACTTCATTTGTGTGGTTTGAGCGTTGATTTTGTTTTTATGAGTGGACAGGGGTGGATTGCTGTAAGTCTCCTGCAGTTGCTGCTGTGGGGGGGGGCACATGCTCCCCCAGAGCATCTTCGGGAGGTTTTAGCGCTTTTTGAGGGACAGCGGATCAGTGTTTTGCACCAGCCGAAAGTTGGCCGAGAAACACCTTCGTGTGGTGTGCGTGTGCGGGTGTGTGTGGATGGAGAGCCGTAAGCCGTGTTCGAGGTGGCCGGGATCTTCAGGGACTGTTTCTTTGTCCGTTTGATTGGTGCTCTCAGCACCGTTTTCCAGCCCGTAGGAATGCGCGATTCCTTCCCAGTATGACATGGCCAGGTTTTTAAAGAAAGTACAAATTGGGGCGCCTGGGTGGCTCAGTCGTTAAGCATCTGCCTTCGGCTCAGGTCAGGATCCCAGGGTCCTGAGATCGAGCCCTGCATCAGGCTCCCTGCTCCGCGGGAAGCCTGCTTCTCCCTCTCCCGCTCCCCCTGCTTGTGTTCCCTCTCTCGCTGTCTCTCTCTCTCTGTCAAATAAATAAATAAAAATCTTTAAAAAATAAATTAATTTTAAAAAAAGTACAAATTAAAAGTTGTCAGGAATGTCAGAAGTTTAATAAATTGGTTGGTTATCTGCAAATATATCCTTATTTGAATGTACCAGGAATCTTTCTCATAAAAGGAATTCTGTGGTAAATCATTTTGGAACGTGCATAATCTTTTGGCGAATGTTTGGAGGTTATAACAGTGCCATCTGAGTTGCAGAAATGACTTTGTGTGCTCTTTCTTCCTGAGTTAAAGCCTCTCTTATGTGCCCCAAGCCGTGCGTGCGCTCGTGCTGTCCCCTGGGCCTGGCCGCTGCCACCGGGTGCTGCCCTGAGGTGGGTTTGGGAGGCTTGATTCTGAAGGAAGCTGCAGGGCCAGTGGTGGCTGGTGTGAGGGAGTCAGGGCCGTGGGGACTTCTGCACCGAGCGGGGCCGGGGGGGCACTCGGGAGTCTTCACTGGTGGCGTTGGCTGCTTTCCTTCAAGGCTCGTTCAGCACAGCAGTCGTGGGGGCGGGAGTGAAGCAGGGATGTCCACAGGAACGGAAGTGACAGGTGGTCCTTTTCACTCGGTGGGACAGACTGTGAGTGGCTCCCCGTCATCTGCGGAGTCCCAGTGACCGGGTGCGCACCCCAGGAGAGGTAGCCTGTAGCACCGTTAGCTCCCCACCCCTGGGGGACAGCCCTTTCCACGTTTGGCTGTTTTTATATCCTGTAGGTTGTTCTCACCATGTTGTTATCGCTCTGTTCTGTATCTGAAATCCTCGTACGAGAGCCAGCCCTGGCAGCATGGTATGAAAACCTTGAGGGCCCCGTAGGCTTTCAGGGTGCCAGAGGCACACCTGGTCAGCCAGATCCACACTGCTGAGGCCGGGAGTTGAGGCCCTGGGCCCTCGGGCACGGCTGTCCCTGGCCCCGTCCATGTTCCTTGAACACGGTGCAGGGTTTCTGTTCCGACTCCTCCCTCCTGGGCTGCCACCAGCTGGCCCTGCTCCTGCCCGGCCATGAGACCAGACACCCCAGAAGGGGGAGCACAGGTGGGACTTGCATTCCTCGCAGACTGGCTGGCACATGCTGTTCACCAGGCTTCGTCCCGTGGGACATGTGTGCACCCATGGGCTTTTGCCCTCATGGGGGGTTGGGTTTCCAGGACTGAGCTTGTGATGTGTGCGCACAGACGTGTGCATGGCTCTCCGGAGGCCTCGCGATGGGGTGTCCCTTCGTGAGCACTAATGGCCGGCACATGGGGGCTGAGAACCTGGACCCGGACATGAGGAACAGCACTTCAAGAAAACCTGTTGCTTCTGTGCGGAGAGAGTGAATGTGGTCTGCGCATCTGAAAGTTTTCTCGATGGTGACTTAAAAGTGTAAATGTCTGTGTTCTGGTGGGTTCTTCCACGTCTTGTGCTCAGGCTCAGGTTTTCTGAGTTTTTTCTTTTGTTTTTGTCTGTCTTTGTGCATGTGTGCACGTGTCTTAAAACAACTCAGATTTATCATCTTACCGTTCTAAAGGCCACACTCCTTCTGGAAGCTCTAAGGGTGTTTCCTGCCTCTTCCAGGTTCAGGGGCCGCCGCACTCCATGGTTTGTGGCCCTTCCTCACTCCTTGTCCCTGAAGCCAGCTCCCCTGTGGTGACACTGGGCCCACCTGCACAGCCCAGGGTGGCGGGCAGGAGCGGACAGTTCTGGACGCACAGGCTTTTTGGGGTCTGTGCCCTGTTTTTTTATCTTTGTGATCTTTGTGGTTATATGGGAAATAAAGATTATTTCTTGCTATCATTTGACTTTTTTTAATTGCTAGAAACAAACTTAGTGCCTGATTCATCTTTGTTTCTAAGAAAAGGGCGAAACTATAGTTTTAGCTGAAGTCATATTTTTTCCATGGTTTTTTAGTTTTTATCAAAGAGCATAAAACCTTTTAAAATAAAACCTGTTTACTTACCTTTTCGTGGGATGAGCTATTCTGGGACAGTGAAATATTACAACACTTGTTCTGTGTATCGTTCACAAGACTTGACCGTCAGCATCAGCAGTCAGGGACCCATCTTTCCTCCCACTCAGAGCCGACTTGGCTTTCTTGGTGGTCTGGCGCCTGGGCTGCGTTCGCCCAGCACGGCCTCCTGTCGGCTGGCGTAGGAAGAACGGAAGTGTCTGCAGCCCGTGGCTTCTCGCGCTATGTTCGCTGCTCTGGGGCACGGGGTTTTGAGCCCAGGGTTGACGGTGAGCAGGCCGCAGATGTGTCAGAAGTAACGTGGGACTGCCAGGCGCTCCGTGACCCAGCTTGGCGGAAGTGGCCGAGTTGTACTTAATAGCTGAGGGGAGCCATGGCTTGAGCCTCAGCACCAGAGTCTTGGGGCCAAGACTCACCGGGGGGTCATGCCGGGGCCTGCAGCTTCTGGGCCCTGCCCTTGGGACTCATGTACTGACCTGTGCACTTCTTTCTCAGGTCCGGGCCCACCAGCTAGTCCTGCCGCCGTGTGATGTGGTGATCAAGGCTGTGGCCGACTACGTCCGCAACATCCAGGACCCCTCGGACTTGGATGCCGTAGCTAAAGATGTGTTCCAGCATTCTCAGGTACAGTGCAGGCTTGGAGCAGTCTGCACGGCGGGGGTGGGTGTGGCAGGGGCCCCTCACCTGGCTCCCGGCCTCCCCCGCGGCTGCACCGGGAGGGCTCAAGGTAGACGCCTGGGAGGTCTGCTGCTCCTACATTCTCCATCACGATTGATAACGTTTCTCCTGAGAAGACAGACCTATCACGCGGGCTGAGTGGAATTGTGAACGTGACTTGTCCATCCCTTCAGGTGATGGTCAGGGATTTCTTCTTCTTTTTTGGGGAAAGTAGGGAATGTGAGTGAGTCGGGGTTAATGGAGGACATGAGGTTGGTGTGATCTCCCATGTCTCTCTGGAAAGCTGAAACCACTGTCCTGCTTGCTGGAGACAGGACAGAAAACCTCCCCAGGCCGCACCAGGGACGTGGCCCGGAGAAGCCCGGGACTCCTGAGGGCTGCATTGCAGACCTGGGTCTCCTGACGGGGTGCCAGTCTGTGTTAACCCACGTCACTCTGACAGGATTAGTGTCTGATTTGTTGCTTTTCCTGGAAGATTTTAATGTCACTTTAAACTCTTCTCTAACTTGAAAAGCTGTAGATGATACATGTGCTGAATTGTGAAAGTATGTTCATGCACAGGACCAGTGGCATGCAATTTACAAAGGTTTTCCTACGTTTATTCCAGTCTAGAACAGATGACAAAGTTATTCGATTTAAGAGAGCAATTGGATATTACTCAGCGACTAGTAAGCCTATGGCATTTCACCCAGCACATTACTTAGGTAAGTAAATCCAAGCCTCTGTGACGGACGCTGACCATGCAGTCACCAGAGAGATTAAAACGTGGGCCCAGTAGTCTTGTAGTTTTATTCATCTAGAGTGAGGTTTCCGCCACTGGCGTGAGTGCATGGAGCTGCACCTCCTGGGCAGACTCCTCAGTGGCCCCTGAAAGGTTGAGGAGCAGGACAGACAGACCTGGGAGTTGGGGGCGGGCCAGGAGGTGTCCATGGGGTGCTCTGCGGGGAGGCCTCTGGACCTGCACACGCCTTCGTAAATCCACTTCAGAAAAGCAGATGGGTGTCTTCTCTTTTGCTGCCTCTTTTTTTTGTTTTTTGTTTGCAAAAGACCAAATTTAACTCAGAGATTTGAAATTGGGGAATAAAAGTAATGATAAGCTGTTTACGTGAAGCCTGCCTGGTGGTGCTCTCACGGGAGGCTGTGAAGCCCCGAGTCGACGTGCCAGACTTCTCCCTGAGTCCGATTGCCTCTGTCTGGGTCTGGAGCCATGAAGCTCTGAGACACTGTGCTGCCCACTGTTGTTTCTGTTGTGTTTGCTTCCATGTTCCTGATGTGGTTTGAGAGCACCTCTGTGTACTGGTTTCAGAAGATTAGTCCCAGGTTTGAAATGTCCCAGACAGTTGTCCCTTATGGGGTACGCTCAAGCCACACTCCTCTGGACCTGGGGGCCCTACACGCACAAGCGTAGAGCTGCAGTGTGCATGCAGGGCCCCCAGGTCCAGAGGAGTGTGGCTGCTGGTGGTGGTCGCTGTGGATGCCCAAGGAGGGCGGGGCCGCAGGCTGCTCTGCTGGCCTGTCCGCTGGGACCCACGGTCAGGACTTCTGTCTGTGGGGCTCATCCTCCTGCTCTGGCCCCCTGCAGCCTTGGTGCTGTTTAAACTACTTGGCATGCGCAGTCCCAGCATGCTTGGGACGAACTCTCAGCTGTGCCCCTGCTTTCCCCACAGCTTGGTCCTGCGCCCTTGGCCCTGCGTTGTCCAGGCCCTGCTGGCTTCTGCCGGGGACGTGCCATGCCGGCTCCCGCCTCAGGGCCTCAACGCCCTGCAGTCAAGAGTGCGCCCTGACCTCCTGTGCCTGGGACACTCCAATTTCTGAGGTCCCGGCTTCACTGTCACTTGTCTGAGGCCATCAGCTAGCAGCCATCATGTCTCAGCACCTTGCTTTAATCCTCTGCACACTGCCTCCCACTCCTCCCCCAGGAATGTCAGGTCTGCAGCCAGGGCCCCACCTGCCACCTTCACCCTCATACCCCCGTGGGAAAGTATTTGAGTGACTCAATCCAGGAAAAGCTGTTGCAACTGGGACAGTGAGAGGATCGTGATTTGGGGTCACTGTGCTGGACAGAGGGAGATGTGGCAGGCAGGTCATGTGGGTTGCTTTATTCCTATGGCAGGGGCACCCAGTGGACACTGTTGAGACAGGTGACAGGCAAGGTCTGACGCCAGGGGTGGACATCCTGACCCCACGGTCTCCGGCCTCAGGCTTCCTGGTTCTGGAGATGGGTGTATGTGACATGCTCTGTGGCCCCTTGTCACAGGGCAGACACTGTCTCTGTTTTCAGAGGGACAGTGGCTGGGAAAGGCAAGGAATGGTCTGCAGCCACAGAACCTGGGGAGAGTTCCCAGAAGGGCATCTTTGCCCCTCATGTGTCTGAGGGGACACCTGGTCCTCGTGTGACAGGGTAGTTGAAGCAGTCACTCCAGTGCATTAGGGACTAGAACGCTTACTCAGGAGGGGCCGGCAGGGAGGTCAGGGTGGAAAAGGGCATGAGGCAGCGTTTGGTGCTAGTCTGAGCTGCTAACAGGGTTGATGATATGTTGAAGAGGCGAGATGGGCTTTAAATTCATGTTTAAATTTGAGCTGCCTTTTTTTTTTTTTTTTTTTTTTTAAAGATTTTATTTATTTGGGGGAGAGAGAGCACGAGCAGGGGGAGTGGGAGAGGGAGAATCAGACTCCTCGCTGAGCAGGGAGCCCGATGGCAGGGCTTGATCCCAGGACCCTGAGATCACGACCTGAGCCGAAGGCAGTCGCTTCACTGACTGAGCCACGCAGGCGCCCCTGAATTTGAGCTTCTTAAAAACTTATATGTTATACAAAGTGCTCTCGTGTTCTTACGTTGTTAGACAATACGTGAAGGAGGTATTTTATGGATGAAGGTGATGCTCCTGGAATTTAGTTTCACTTCTTGTCTGTGGGTTTTGGGGAATGGTGGTGGGTTGGGGAAGAATTTGTGGTGTTGGGGGCGGTATTTTTAAGCAGGTCCATGTGGGTGATAACTACTGTGTGTTACGTTAAAGCCTTCTCTGCAGGGTCTCCTGGTGCTGCTGACTGTGGCGGAGACCTGAGCCGTGGGGCACAGAGTTTGGGGCAGCTGAAAGTGCAGGCCGGCAGCTGTGTGGCCTGGAATGTGGGGTGACTGGGGACAGAGGTTGGGGCAAGACTGGAGGAAGGTGTATTTCAAGTTACAGATACACAATTCGGAGCCAGCAGAAGTGGATTCCTGTAAAATCGTTTTCGTTTTTTTCCTGACAAGTATAAAGAAACAAAATAATGTGGAGATGGTACCCATCCCTCTTGCCTGTATGTGCTGTTAGGCTCCCGCTGTGGAGCTGAGTGGGAATGGAGAGCCTAGAAGGAGCAACGTGGGGTTGGGGAGAGGCTTTCTTGGTATTCCATGTGAGAACCCAAGACACATTTCCCGTAAAAATATTTTTGTGAGCAGTAGGTAGGTCCTAAGTGGTCTTTTCTGACCTTGGTCCATTATGTTGTTCTCTGGGGAGATGCATTCAGAACTTTGACAGCCAGTGTTGGAACATAATTTTATCATTCGTTAGAACTTGTCTGTATGAATCATTGTAGAAACTGAAATATGTGTAGTTTTAAAGACATTTAAAACATTGTATTAGCCCCTTGGAGGCTATTGGGAGTAAAAATGGGGAGAGTTGACTCTAACCAGCGGTTCCTAACCTGGCTGGAGTTGAGGTTCTAGGCCAGAACTGTTGTGTCAGGATCTTCACTGGGTCTCCATGATCCAGGAACACCTTCCTGGCCTGGCTGTGGTCAGGGAGACCGGCACTGGGCAGGGCTGCTGTGTTGGAGCCTGTGGGCCTCCGTGGCCCTGAGGGAGCCTCTGCTCCCCACACTGATGCAGAGGGTGTGGAATTGACAGGAGGGCCTGCACACCCTGTTGCGCCATGGTGCTGGGAGGCCTGGCCTGCACAGCGTGTGGTATGGTTCAGGGTGAAAAATGGGTTCCAGTCTGTACTGTCTTTGCATAGTGGACCCCCCAGAAATGATCTGTTTTGAGATGGGTTTTTAAAATCAGTTACAGGTGAGATTAGTATTCATTTTGTAAACATTTATTGTGTCAGAAACACTGTGTTGGGACTAGGGACCTGGAGATGCTTATGATTTTGTGCTTTCTGTCCCAGCACATAATGCCTCCCATGGCCACAGAGTCCCATCTGAATGTAGGTGCACATACGAGCGGTCAGAATGGAAGCTTGTCAGCAGTGTGTGGCTCCCGGCTGCCGGAGGCCCAGCTCAGGCCTGTGAACGGACACGGGAGGCTTCGGCTCAGCCTGGTGTTCTTGTAAAAAGGCTGCACAAGTGAAACCGAGGCCCAGTGAATCTGAGGATGCACACGCTGTGTCTTCCTGGCCTCTTCCGTGAAAAGTGGCTGAGCTCCCACTGCACACTTGTCAGAACGGCCAACATCCGGAGCTCCGGCACCACCAGATGCTGGTGGGGATGCGGCACAGCGCGAGTGTGTGTTGCTGCCACTGCGGAAGACAGCGTGACAGTGTCTCCGAAAACGCAACGCACTCCTGCCATGTGGTCCAGCAGCCAGGCTCCTCCGTGTTTACCCCGAGGAATTGGAAACTCTGTCCACACGGAACTTTGCCCTTTATTCGTAATTGCTGAAACGTGGGAGCATCCAAGACGTCCTTCAATGGGTGGTGGACAAATAAACTGTGGTCCATCCAGGCAATGACATATTATTCAGTGCTAAAAAAAAAATGGGTTATTAACTCACGAAGACCTTGAATACATTCACTGAGAGAAGCCACTCTTCCAGGCTCCCTGCTGTATGATTCCAGCTGCACGACATTCTGGAAAAGGCACAGCCATGGAGCCTGTGGAAAGTCAGCGGAGGCATGAATGTAGGCAGAGCACGGAGGATTTTGTGTGACACATAGTGGTGGATATGTGTCCTTAAAAATTCGTCCAAACCCGTAGCGTGAGCACCGAGCTGTGGGCTCTGGTTCATAATTGTCACATATCAGAAATAGACCATCTGTTGAACACATATCATACGAATGCAAGGGTTGTGTTTTCTGCTTAGGTTTTCTATAGACCTAAAACTGCTCAGAAATATTAATTAAAAAGACCAAAAACTCCTTGATGTGTCTGGCCCATGCCAGCACTTGCCGGTTCTGGACAGTGTGGTAGAGCAGACGTGCCATCCTGGGCCTTGCACACGAGTGAGATGCGGACTCATACGGCTCGGGAGCAGGCAGTTCTGGGAAGACCGGGAGACTAAGCTGGTACCGGTTAAGTCAGGGCTTGGTTCTGCTTGACTGAGTTAACGTTGAGCTCAGGCTTGAAGGTAGAGCAGGTGTTTAGTGAGGTGGTGATGGGGAGGAAGTCTGTTCCACGCGGAGGAGACCCGAGGTGGCGGCGCTGGGCATGGAAGCAGCGGAAGGGAGTGGCTGGAGCCCAGGATGCAGGGAGCAGGCAGGGGCTGGTGTGGCTGTGGGCAGTGGCCACCGGCCAAACACAGCCCGAGGCTTCAGACTCTCTAGGGGCTATGAAAGCTCATTGAAGGATTTATAGTGTTAGAAGTTGTTACTTTGTACCTGTTGCACACCAGGTGCGTTTGGCACATGACCAATAGCCTGTGTGCAGTTAATGAAACCAGCCTCAGTGGGACATCAGGTTCCCCTGCCCACCGGCTCCCTGAATTCTGTGTCATTCGTCCCCT